TTTTTAGGGGAAACGGTGTTCTTCATTTTGAAAGTGCTGGTGCTTGTGAACCCAGCAAAACTGAGAAATCATGGATCGGTCCATTTTCCATTCCAAGTCATATTATTTTATGGTATAGGAACATGTTTTTGATTCCTTTAATAGCTGGTTTCTAGCTTTTAGAATGCTAGAACTCACAAGGTTCTTCCTAACGATGGAGACTTTAACTCTTTTAAAACAAGCTGTGCCACAGCTCCTGAGCTAATGATGCCCAGCTTCCTACAAATCTGAGTTTCATGACTTAATTCTCTGTCACCTAATAAGATGCATTTTCAGATTAAAGCCTTAACTATTACTGGGCCATTCTAAATATTTTCCCCTTTTAGATTCTCTGATGTCTGATAATGATTGAAATCAGGTCCTCTCCCACTGTGGAAGAACTAACAAGCTTTCTGGCCTCATCCCCCCACCAGGCATCATTTTGCCTTAAACAGCTGCCAGGTGTGGCTGTAGCTGGATTCTGCACTAGAATCAGAGCAACCCTGAATATATGTATGGGTAGGGGTGCAAGAGGCAGGAAAGCAGCCCCATGGAAAGAGATCTGGGGTTTCTGGTTGATGTCAAGTTGAAATTGAGCCAGTATCATTCCCTCGCAGCCAAAAGGATTCTCTAGGGTGCATCAAGCCTATAATGCCAGTCGGACAAGGGAAGGTGTTGTACCATTCTGCACTGTGCAGCCTCACCTCAAGCACTGCCTGCAGTTTGGGTTGCCACAATATAAAAAGGACATAAAGATATTAGTGAGCATCCAAAGGGCTATGAAGATGGGGAACAGTCTGAAGGGCAAAACGGCTGAGGTCCCTTGGTCTGTTCAGACAAACTGACGTGAAGCCTACAGTTCTTCATGAGAGGAGTGGAGCTACAGTGCTGATCTTTGCTCTCTCAATGACAAGATCGAGGGAATGGCCTGGAGCTGCACCAGGAATGACTCAGGTTGGGTGTTAGGAAAATGTTTTTCACCAGAGGGTGATGAGGCCCCAGAACAGCCTCCCAGGGCAGCGGGCATAGCTCCGACTGGTGGAGATCAAGGAGCATTTGGCCAGTGCTTCAGACATTGGGTTTGGATTTGGGTGTTTTATGTGGAGCTGGGAGTTGGACTCGATGATTCTTTGTGGTTCCCTTCCAAATCATAGGAATATGATTTTCTATTTTCTACAGGATATTCTATGACACTATGATTCTAAGGCTCTCTGTGAATTTTTTTATTGTTATTATTATTTTTTTTTTTTTTTGCACAAGCTACTGTATCGAGAAGGGCACACTTAAATCCAGCTGATGAATTTCAGGGAGATAAGATTTATGAGATTTTCAGTCTTTTTCATCTTGTAAAATACTTCCTCTATTAGGATTTAAAGTTTGCCATACCATAGCTAATTTAGCCCACAAAGCATCCTCTATAGAATGATAAACAAAAACTATTCTTCCACTGTATACATAGATTATAACTTTGTTTATCATTTTCCACCTGAATATAAGGAAGGACTATCGTGTCAGGTACAGCTGTGCAAGTTCAACCAGTTAAGAGAGGGTCCTGTAACAAAGTCATTATTGGACTTCCCTTATTCTGCTGCTACATGATAAGGAGCAGAGTAAATTAAATTTCCTGTGAGTCACCTGCAGTTGTAGGAGAAAATATTGCTTAGTCCCTGCTACAATGTGTGGATTTGTCTATCTGTGTACAGACGTGGTAAGTATGCAGTCCCACTGAGGAGAACAAGCCTGTTATTTTGCAACAGGCTGTTGTGAAAACAGGCCATTTCAGGGGCACCTGCAGCTTCCAGAAGGAAAGAAAGTTAGCTGGGTAGTGTGGAAACTCCTGCAAATGGGTCGAAGAGTAGTGTTTTTAAAAGCCAGAAAGCAGGTGCACACAATGTCCTTTTTGAATGGAGCAATGGTGTCAATAGGCAGGAAACCAGAGCAGCCCTACTGCTCATTAATTCTGTTTCTCCTTCCACCATTTCCTGCTCATTAACTCTCTCCTATGCTTTCCTTCTCTGCTAGAGTGCATAACTCAGTCTCAGTGATTGTCTTAGAAAGGGAAAAGTGTTGAAAGAAAAAGACAGAATGAGAATCTGCGTTTCTTACCTGTCTCTAGATATCTTTCCTGCTACAAAGAAATGCAGTAAGCATTTTATACTTCCTCAGAAAGATATATGCAAGTCAGGTTTAAGGAAGGTATGTGCCCTCCAGCCAGGATTTACCTCTGTGCTGCTTATTCCATCAAGAAAACTTGTTTTTTCTGAAGGGTTTGTCTCACCCGTCTCTGACTTTCACCTGTGCACTAAATCCTTCAGGAAGAAATAAACACAAGGATCTATTTTTATTTTAACTGCCTTTTTGTAAAGGAGGCAATTTCTTGTTGCTGCCCTCAATTTTTGTTGCACTGAAGGCTGCTTGCTGATTTTTACAAGTTTTGGTATCTATGTGGTGATACTGTTATGCTTGGCTGCTAGTGGTCTCAACTTGAAGGACTATAGACACACATGTCAGCAGAGTGTGCAGTTGTCCTGTGAGCACTTCAGCAAAGACCTCCTTTCTCACAGGTACCTGTTGATTTATTTCAGCCTGTGTTTCTCACTGCTGAATCAAAGGGGTGTAAGCTTATGGTCCCAGACAATGTCCAGAATGGACAAGGGACCAGAGGAATTTCTCTTCGACCACTTTTCAGCACAAAAAGTTCACTGTAGTAAGTCTCTACAGAGATATCAAGGGTGGCTGCAAGGGACAAAGGATTTGTAGGCTCTGGCTTAGCCCCTCAGGATGGAAGACCAGCAGTCTGTCTCCTGAGGTGATACAGAGCTGCCAAGAATTATAATTTTCACCGTAGCTTTATTTTAATCTGTTGTATTGCAAAGCAATGAGAGTGGCAGTGTCTTACTAATTATTTCACACCCTTTATCCAGACCAGTTAGCACTGTACCATCACAAGGGGTGGGATTGTGGAACCACAGTCAGGCCCCCACGTAGAGTGGACTATACAGCATAGGGTTGCTCTGCATATGTCTGGTTAGACTGACTTGGTCTTTTCACACCAAAACTTTGCCCATGATCTGGATTGCTTGAAACTGTTCTGCCATAAGGCACTGATTCCAATTGCCATTAACGGCTACAATAACATATGCCTGTGATTGTAAACACCTTGATTAGGTGCACTAGCCTTTCATGTCAGCTTTGCATTAATATCAGCAAAGCCACATAGATGTGAACAAGTGATACAAGCAGCAAAGAGAAAACCAAAAAGAGAAAACTATTCATGCTGTCTAGCAGATTCTTAGCAGCGAGTTCCAGGCCAGGAAGACTTCTCTTGGCTACTTTCAGCTTCAATTTATTCCAATTGTCTCCTGCACAGCTGAGTAGCCATGGGACGAGCACTGTGGGTGAGGAATGCCCAGTGCTGACAGTATTTTCATTCAACATTCATTATCAAAACTTTTAGGGATGGGAGGATGGAGCTATGAAGAACAAACCCCAAAAAAGCCAACATGCATTATTTGGGACAAACGGACTTGATTATAGATCCTGAAGGTGCTATAAAACTGATGGATTACAGGCTCAGCATCTCTGGGATTTGAGCTGTCTGGCTTCCACTGTGCTTTCATTGTGTCAGCTCCCCCACTTTTCATTGCTTTTTTGCTGGAAACATTGCACTGCAGCACAAGTGAAGTAAGCAGGTCCTAACTAGATCCAACAGCTGCCTTTTGTTGCTGCTGTGGAAACAGCTGTAAGGGAGCAATATAACCACTCTTCTGTTACCAGTCATATCCTTTCTTGGATGCAGGGGATCCTGAGGCAGCTCCTGTGGTGATGCAGATGCTAACTGGGTCCACAACATGCTATTTTGTGACTCATTGGACAAACTAAGCACTTGTTGTACTGTCCCATGAGCATAAAGTTGACTGCATGGATATTTTGCACTACTTTTTTATGAGATTCACATTTAATTTTTATGCAGGGAGAGTCTTTGCTCTGGTTCCTGTAGTAGAAGGAATGATTTTTCAGCTATTTGATCTCTTTTTCACTTTTGTGCAGTAAAACTTAACTACAATGATGAGCTTAAAATTCAAGTACTTGCAATTAGGATGTGTTAATTTTTTCTTTTCCTTTTTCAGAAATAAGTTTTGAACAGGTGATAGGTTTTTTTGTTTTTTGTGTTGTTTTTTTTTTAACCAATAATAATAATAATAAAAAGGAGGAAGAAGAGCAACCCCACTTGGACTTTCATCAGTTCTGTATTTTTCTGTCTGAGGTTATTGATTTAAAACCAGATTTGATGGAAGAATACCTAAGTCATAGGAAAAAAACATTAAAAAATTGATCATCACATCATGGACGGTAATGGGTAATGGGTAGAGCACTTCCTGAGTGTACTTGGAATAGGACTGGAGGTTGTTCTAAAAGATATGAAGTATGTGAACGCTGAGCATCATCGTTAAGAAGTACAGTTTCCCTGAGTTTTAGCTCATGATCTTAATGTATGTCCTTATTCACAACAGTTATCGTGTTTGAATCTCAGTTCCTCGCCTATGAAGTCAACTCATTACCCTTCTGAAGTGCTTCAAAGTCCCATTGTGGAAACAGTTCTGATAATATGTTTTTCTGCTAAGGCCAGACAGAGCATAACTGTGTTTCACTGTCTAAACATTGTGTTTGATGGAGTACATTTGCTTCAGAAAATTCAGCTAAGGATCATAGAATCGGAATGTTCAGAATATTTGTTGGTTTGGGAAAGGCAAGCACACATCATGCCAGGTGTACAGACAGGTACTGCAGGAGATGGATCAAGAAGAGGTCCATTATTGATCAGTCAGAGATGTTAGGGGTAATGTTAAATATCTGCTGGGGAAAAAATAGATAAATGAATAAATGTAAAAAACTACATGAGAAACAACTGCTACCTGTGTAAGTTTCTATGCTGAATATCTGGAGTTACATTTCATTTACTCTGCATTTTTGTATCTCAGGTTCAGGTTCAGTGGTCGTATTCTTGGCCTTGCTCTCATTCATCAGTACCTTCTTGATGCTTTCTTCACAAGGCCGTTCTACAAAGCACTATTAAGGCTGTAAGTATAAGCATACAACTGTGCAGAAACAATGCAGAAGCAGTGATCTAGCAGTGGATATTACAGAAACACAGAGTTGCTTCAAGCTCTCTGACCTTCAGTTGCTTTCTGTTGTTTCACAGTTTGTTCTTGATAGAAAAGAAACTCATCTTAATATTTCTTGACTTTCTCCAAAAATTTGCCCTTGGTAGATGCTGCCTGTGCTGTTATGAGTGGGTAGTAAGTAAGATATTTGAGAATATGCCTTTGAAAGTACTCACCCATAATTCCGAAGCTTAATATTGATTAAAAGTTATCAAAGCAATTAAAATATATGGAAAACTGAAAAACATCTTTGATAGAAGAACGGATATCATTATTTCCTCTTAAGAAAAAAAAAGGGGGAAGAAGCATGTTAAGAAAGATACGTGATTTCTCACTGGTGGGGTAGTTTTTCACAACTTGGACTAAATTAAGAATGCTAATGCAGATGGAAACAGTGAATGTTTCTTTTTGGTCTTCTACTGCCTTTTACATTAGCAAGCAGAAGCTACTAGTAATATATTATCTTGTCAGTTCTGTAAGGTTTATAAGGTTAACTTTAACTGATAATCTGTCTCTCTTTAATAGACTGCGGGAAGAGAATGTACATAAAATTTGCAGCACTAACAAGTAGTAAGTCAAGACTATAATTAAGTGACAAAGACCACACTAAAGCATAGCTGAAATAGAGTGAGTCCAAATCAGGAAAGATATCTTTATTAAGAGTCTGAAGAGTTCTTTAACATGCATTTTGTTTTATATTTTTTCAACAGTTGGTATTGCTGGTCTCCAAACAATCATATTTATATTGTATCTGAGCTAGTATGGAAAGAGAATAAAACCTAGAGTGCTCCTGCATCCTTCTTGCTCCCTTAGGGTTTGAAACTAAATTGCCTGTAACATACATGTGCCTTTTCAATCAGCAAAACTGGCTCCTTGCTAGCAAAAAATTTAGATGCCTGTTCTGCCTTATGTCAGTCCTGTGAGCTCTGTCAAGGATAATGGATACAGGGAAGCATCCAGGCACAACATGGTGGGGCCTATGGAGCTGAAGGCAAGCATGTGCTGTGAAGTGCATGGCATCTTGAAGATGCACATAAAATTGAACCCCCAAGAGTGCCTTCCAACAGCAAACAATACAGGCAGCCAACAGAATTGGCCTTGAGCCCAGCCATGCAGACAGTGCAGAACTACTTTAAGAGGGTTTGTGTTTCTTAACATACCAAAAAAAAAAAAAAAAAAAAAATCCAATGAACAAACACCAGCCTTATGTTGGATCCTTGTCATAAATTTACTTTCTTACTGGTAAGTCATCCTGACAATAGTTGTGGGTTCATACATTCACCTACACCTTTTTTCTTGCCTCACAACCAGGCCGTGTGATTTAAGTGACTTAGAGTACCTGGATGAAGAGTTCCATCAAAGCTTGCAGTGGATGAAAGATAACAACATCACAGATATCCTGGATCTCACCTTCACAGTGAACGAGGAGGTGTTTGGACAGGTGAGCACAGCTATGCAAAACATCTGAAAAGCTGACAAAGTTGAGCATGATGAACGTCTTTACGTTGGAATAGATCATTTAGCCTTTCAATAACATTTTCTTCTCCTGCCTTCTGTTTCTTTCAAGCCACCTGTTTTAATGCAGATGTTTATTCTTAGGGTCAGTAATATAAAATACCAGGCACAGCTTCCCTGCAGGCCTGTTGAGCCACACGTTCATGAACATGAGGAATTATCTGAAGTAGAGTGCAGCTCTTCTCTCCGGAGTGTAGTTCACACAGGTTGTGGCATTCCATGTATTCAGTAATGTAACTTAAAGCTGATGTGACTGAAAAGAGGGGGGTCAAAAGGGAAGAAAAGTATTTGATGGGTCATATAAGACATGGCAACTCTTACCATTATTTTGTCTAATATATTCGTTAGTTTCGCTGTCTCTTATCTACTTGCTCCTGCTTATCATCTTGCTGTATACAAGTTATTATGCTTTTTACCATTCAGCTTTAGTTAGTCAGACAATTCTCTTTAATCAAGCTGATCTGGATATCTACAACTTTAAATAGGAAACAGTGCTGACTTCAGTGCAGTCTGGTGACCAGAACACTTAGAAAGGTCTTCTGTGGGTTTCTTTGGCTTGCACTGAAGCCTTGATGCCTTTGCTATTGTAACCCATACAGGATTATAATTGTCTCTAAAAAGTCTTGACAAGACTCAAAGCAATATTAAGTGGAAAATCTCCAAGTACATGCTGAAAGCTAGAGAGACAGAAGAACCATGCATGCCAGATAATGTAGAATCTCAAGAGAAGGAAGTTAACTGCTGTGTAAGGTGCAGAGATGCAGTGTCAAAGAGAATGGAGAGATCAGGTGGAATATACAGAACAGTGGCTTTCAGAAGAAAAGTTGACAGGAGTTAGTGCAGAGTGAAGGCATGCAGAGCAGGGAGAGAATTAGATTTGTTTTGGAGTAAACTTTTGAGCTATAAACTGTAAGTAATAAATCAAACGAGACTTCAGGGGATATTTTCAAAGCTGAAGTTAGTCTGCTTGTTGTGTAAGGGAATAAAGAATCTCCAGAATCAAGAATAGACGAAATAAAAGGGATGGGGCAGAAGAATTGAAGCAAGAATCCCTTATAGGAAAGACTAACATTGTTTTTCACAGACTTAAATGCAAGGAGTTCTCCTCTCAGAAGCTGAGAGTTTGCATTACATTCAATTGACAGTACAGCCATCTCCCTGGAAGTTATGCCTACGTAAGACTAATAAATGAAGACAAACAGAAACATACAGACATATTCACAAAGACAGATGAGAAAAGTTTGTATTTGCATTGGAAGACCACAAAGATGATTAAGAATCTCAGCTTGAATTGCCCTAATACATCTGAAGGTGTGTATTTGGCACTCCAAGTATTTGTTGTGCACTCTCCAAAGAAAGAGCTAGGCGATTACATAGATGTCTGCTGTGGAAGATAAGAGATGATTCCAAAAAGAACATAAATAAAATTCCAATCTGTTGTAGATACTGTGATACTAGAGCAAAAGAACACAAAATATTTTGATGTCAGTTCACATTCTGTCCAGTACTTTATTTCATATACCCACCAGACACTAAACTTGCTAGAACTAATAGCAGGGGAAAAAACGATTCTCACAGTGAATTACGATTGTGAGAATGCAAGAGTCCTAACTGAAGGTGAGACTTTTCCCTTATGAAATTTGCTGAATGCTGACAGCAGAATACCCAAGAAATCTCGAGCACATTTTTTTCTCACAGATGGATCGCAGTTGGAATTCTTGCATGCCAGGAGTATCTGACCACTTAAATGCCATCTGCATATTTCTTTGCTATGCACAATTGGAGTTCTGCTAATATTTGGGATGCTGGATTTCAAGAGTTGGGTAAGGGAAACAAGAAATAGTGGCTCTTTGAAAAGCTGTGTTGCAGATGGGTCACAGGCTTTTTGTCCTGTTTGCACAATGACTTCATTATTGACAAGTCACTATTTCCTTCATTGTTTCTTTTTTCTTTCTTGTGCATCTCTGATTTGTGTATTTAGATTCTGATCCTTGGGGCAAAATCTTTTTTCTTGATACTTTTTTTTCTTTTTTTTTTTTAAATTAAAATGTACTATGAGGATCTCCAGCCCTCTTCCATACTGGTGCCTGGAGCAAACATATGGTATCAGTGCAAGCATCCCACATTTTTATTTATGGGTACTCAGTGCTAGTTTGAGAGTTTTGCTTGTAAGACTAAGAGAGGTGACAGTTGCCTGTGATTTAAAGTACTTTCCAAGCTTTTGCCCTGTAGAAAGCGTTCTTCCAGGTTTGTGTCCAAGCCCTATATGTGGATACACTAGCAATTGTTCTGGTCAGGTTAAAGAAGTGGGTTAAATTTGTTGTAGTGTTTCCTTGCTGCTCTGAATGCACTGCTCCTAATTCTAGCTCACAGCTGTGGCTAATACCTCCAAGAAAGAAAAAAGGTGGGAGAATCCACTGTCACTGATCTTCTGTTTCCAAGTCTACATAAATAATTGTATTTGAAATTATGTGGATATGCTAAAGAAATCATGAGTATGTCTAGGTATTTGTGGGAAGCCTTGAAAGGAAATACAGAGCAACTGGATTTATGGTCATGCTTAGTTAGACGACATGTATTCATTATTGATTTTAACCAGTGCAATCTAGGGAAGTACAGCATGGCATCTGAATGATGCAGCTCTGCTTGTGAAATGGTGAGTAGTGATTTACATTTGGGAAGTTAGTCTGAACCAGCTGAGAATTCCTAACTCGTTACATCCAACCTTATTGTTCTTGTTTCTCTGCAAAGCTACATATTAGATGACTCACTGAGTGTTTCCATAATTCACAACTTTCTACATGTCCTTCCAGCAAAATGATGTAAATGATGACTATATTCTGCATGCTCTTTATTGAGCTAACAAATAGATAATAATGTAAATAGTACAAGTAATGAGAATGTATTCATGCAACTCATTTAATATCTGTGCTAGACATCATTGTTATAGGAGCAGAAAACTGAAGATGAGAGCAAAATGTTCTTCCTTTAAAATCCACTGGATTCAATGTGAAATTAATTACAGAATAAATAATATATCCTACCACATGCGAGAAGGAGTATATTCTAAGTACTATCTTGATTGATTCCTTAAATCACTTCTCAAGCCTTAGTAACCCAAACCAACTAAATTAACCATGATAATGCAATGCAAATCTGTTAAAAAATGGTTACAGTACATGCTGGTTGCCATTTTCTTACTCCTATAAATAGCTTAGGTAACTTCTCAGGTTTGGATGTCTGATACAAAAATGAATGCCACAGTGACTGTATTTCTCATCTGTGTGAGGTGCTATCCACTGTCAGTTCTTGTTTAGGTAGTGTATTGGAACTATTTATTTTGTGGGAATTTTCTTGGCTTTTGGCATTTTTGAGTTCACATCTATTCCACATCAATTAGGTGTAACACTTGCTGCTTGAGAGGGTCTGTCACAAGTAGTTACGTAGCACTTCCAGTTGGCAAAACGGTCTGCCAAGTTTCAACAGTTGTCTCCATCCTGTTGTTTCCAGTACTACTAGTTGGGTAGCCTGCATCAATAGCAAGCTGGCAGGAATATCTCCCACTTGGGAGCAAGCAGGAGAGAAGGACATTAAAAGATTGGCCAGAATGGCATATTGCTCATATCTAATAAATTGTGCCCTCAGAATCAGTCTTTGCTTGCACAGTTCAGAGTCACCTATACATCAGTCCAGCTTCATCTGGGAATAAGGCTAGGGCTGGGCTGAGAGGAACAGAGGTCAGAAAGCTATATGTAACTTCTGAAAGTTTCCCATTTTGCTAAATATATATGTGATAAACCAAAAGTTTTGAATCACTTCTCTGCATGTGCTGCAGGAGTGGTTGGGGAGTGGAGGTGAGTGCCCATCATTATTGCTCTTCTTTCTATTGCAGAAGGACAGGAGGCCAGGGGATAGAACTAGAAATATGGCTGTTACATTTTTCACTCATGTTTTCAAAGTACACCTTAAATTTAAAACACAGTGTGATCCATACATTGTTACCCCACTGTTCATCTTTGTTCTGTAGGTGACAGAGAGAGAGTTGAAATCTGGAGGGGCAAATACAGCAGTGACAGAAAAGAACAAAAAAGAGTACATTGAGAGAATGGTTAAATGGCGAGTGGAACGAGGAGTTGTTCAACAAACAGAGGCCCTGGTCCGTGGCTTCTACGAAGTAAGTAGCAGTAATCACTGTCTTCCTTTCATCATCTGAATGAGAAACACCTTGGTTAAACTGTGTTTCATCAGTACCCTTGGAAGTAACAAAAAACACACAAATGGCATGGAATCAGAGTGTCTGGATCTGTAGCAGAATCACTTCATTAAGGAGCTGATGCGACTGCATTTCTAGGGACCCACTACGGTAAAGTTAGTCCTGGGATACAGTCAACTGACCTGAATCTAAGGACATCCTTGTGGCAGAGCTGCTACAAGGACTATCAAAGATGAGATGAAAACCTGCTGCTTTGCTAGCCCCTCCAGGTAGTCACCTATTCATATCCCATGCTAATCACGTTCAACCACGTATCTTTCCCTGGCAGCAGTGCTATGTAAGCAGAAGTTGAGGCATATCTCACAGAGGAAAATAAACCAGAAGAGTAGGACTTCTGGAAAGCAGAGCAGCACATACTGAATACACAGAGCAGTAACAATAACTGATCTATCTCTGGGAGCAGTCATGCAGTAAAGTTTACTGAAAGTGGAAGCCAGTGGTGGTGTCTTTGTAGCTGTATACACTTGGTCAGCCCTAAGGCGACTGTACAGAATTGTAAACAAAGTCCGGTACAAAACAAATTTTTCGTATTACAGATCTAGTGCACGTTTGACCATCAAAATCATTCATCAGAATCAATGTTAACAATGAAGACTGTCTTGCTACTTACTGCCTCATTCAGGTCAGATATGTATTGTCACTGTTTGCAGATTAAAACATCAGCAGACCTGTACAGATTTATCAGCAGAGTGGAAGTTAGCCATCAGCATGCAGACTTCAGTAGCCAACATTTGAAGAGCCCTGGGTCTAAGAGGCATTTCATCCGCTTTGAAACCATGCTTACGAATGCTCTATGTTCCAGGTTGTAGACTCCAGGCTTGTCTCTGTTTTTGATGCCAGAGAGCTGGAGCTGGTTATAGCTGGCACTGCAGAAATAGATCTCAATGACTGGCGTAACAACACGGAATATCGTGGAGGTAAACTGCCTGCTGATGCTTTCTAATATTTTGAGTGTTTTCTGTCTAAAACAGGAAAGATTTCATCCACTTTTTCCCACCTGTCTTTACTGAAGGATATGCCCTGTTTTGTTCAGAAATTTTTTGTGAAAGTTAACACACGAGAAAAAATAAGTAAGACATTAGGTTTGAATCGACAGATGTAATAATACTGAAATTGCTTCTGCTACTCCTGTCCAGATTTTACACACTCTCACTTTCTACGAGCTTAACACAAGTTTTGAATAATAAGAACTGAAGAGTATTTGCAGTAGTAGGTCTAAAACTTACTCAGATGACTGTGAACTAACTCCTAGTCTCATTGAAAGTGATATAACAAGTCCTATTGACTTCAGCCGGGAAAGAGACTTGTGAGTCGAATTCCTCTGCTCCCAATTACACTACTGTGGAATACAGAACTTGCTTAGCCATCCCCTCAACCTATATCAAGTTGAACTTTTTTCATTTTCCTCTAATGCATGATCTGCTTTTGCTTTAAATATTGAGCATGATTTATCCAGGCTCTCTTGGATGATGGATAAATGCAAAATCCATGAGTTCTACATCACAGAAGGAAAGTCATAGAGGTTTGTGTGTCCCTCTCTGAAATACAAGCCTTAAGTCTTTGCTGCTGACTGCCCAACTATTGTGTTACATTGAAATAAACAGCTAATCACAAATACAGCTGGTCCCCCAGGTTATTATCCCTATTATCCTCCTTTTTTTTTTTTCTTTCTTTTTTTTTTTTTTTTAATTTTTTTAGTTTAGCTATAGAAAAAATGTTACCCTGGCTTTTTACAAGCACAAACCAAGGCACAGAGCCCTACATGTGGGAGATTTGCCAGGGAAGAGCTTGCTGCCCCAAACTCTTCTGCATGCGTTGGACACTTTTGCAATTCAAATGAAAATGTATTTGGGAACCAGAAATGATGTCAGTAGAAGTTGAACTGTGTAGTGTATTACAACTGGTCTTTTAATATCTCATATAGGTAGCCCTGGTTCTTGCCAAGGAGTTTGTAAGAGGCATATGTACACTAAGTATATATTTGAATTCTAGGATTTCGAGTGAGTTAGTCATATTGCAGTATCCAGAGCCAAGACACAGCGGGGGTTATGAATTCTCAATAATCAAGAATGAGATATATTGCTAGGTCAGGAGATTTTCTATAGGAGATCTTCTACCCCAGGCTAGTTACACTAGAAGGTATGAATTTGATTTCTCTCTACTGCTTCTTGGTTTAGGTTACCATGATGGACACATTGTAATACGGTGGTTCTGGGCAGCAGTGGAGAGGTTTAACAATGAACAGAGACTCCGGTTGTTGCAGTTTGTTACTGGAACATCAAGTGTGCCATATGAGGGCTTTGCAGCTCTCCGAGGAAGCAACGGGCTTCGGCGTTTCTGTATAGAGAAATGGGGGAAAATAACCTCCCTTCCACGGTACGTCCCAACTACAGTACAAAAACAGAGGTTCTGTTCTGTAGAGCCTGTGCTTGGTTGCATTTGCCTGACTGAAATGATGAATCTCTACGAACATCGTCAAACAACAAAGAAATAATTACCAGTTTGTTCTGCATTTACATTCAGAGATAAGTCTTTTATTTGGTTATTTTTTTTTTATTGGCAGTTTCAGTTTAAACTACTTTGAGTCCTGGAAAGTGGTTAAGGTGAAGATATCCAACTATCCAAACCTAGCTACCTTATTTTGATTCTGTATCTGGTCCACTTCAGCAGCTGTCAGCTGTTCTTTTTGCTCCCAAAATACTAATAAAAATACTTGTGAAGTTATAGAGCCATGAAAGCCAGAATCTACTTCTGCATTTTGGTGAGAACCTGGGTGTAATCTCTTCATTTGCTCTGATGGTTCCATTTCATCATAGGAAAGCTTAGTGGAGGAACTTCAAAGCGTATGGTGATCACACTCAGCTTGGTACATCCAGTTCTGCCAACTAGAATCAAACGAGCTGTGATGTCATACAGTGCCCACAGACTTCCTAATGCCATCCTGTGGAGGAGTTGTCTTCCTTTTTAACAATGAAGGAACTGAGGCACCAAGAGGTGGTCTTACTTAAGGCTACCTGAGAGAGCTGTGCAATAACACTGAGCTTTAAGTTCTGTTCATACCTGTTATCAGCAGCCATCCTTCCCCTGAATGGAGTCACCCTTTCTTGGATGTCCTTACAGTTGCCTGAGGCTGTACCTAGTGTGATTACAGAGCATTTTTCATGGGTCTGCATCTCAGCACCTCTGAGATGAATTTGCTAAGTAAGTTTTTAATGTAATACTTGCCATCCTGAGGATGCTTTCTTCCTGCACTCCAAGATCCTCATTGTCTATTCATATATAAATTATTCTCCTGGAAATGAATTGGAAGCAAAAGCAAACCCCGAAGCACCCAAATATGTTTTGCAGTTTACCTGCCTGCATTCAGAGTTTCCTCTGGTGACTCTCATCAGGCCAGAGTTGCCCAGAATCAGAACAAGTCCTCTGTAGAAAGGTTCCAGACCACCCAGGTAGGGAGACATTTTCAGAGGGTCCCTTGGGCTTTCAGTCCAAAGGAGGCTAACAACTTTCATGGCACACTGCAAAAATTTGTTCTCATAGACCTGCAGATAGATTCAGACAGTCAATTAACCATGGGTGTGACCCAGTTTTCTGGTTACTTGCCATCCATGTTGTTTACCCAGAGCCATACTGTGAGGCATGGAATTGAGCAGACCTGCACCTTTTTCCTCTTGAGAGGAAAACTCCAAATCTGCTCATCATCCTAGTCCAAGTCTAAGCATCTTTATGAAGTGGGATCACAAAAGATCTGGACCAGGGCACCATGTCAGTGAATGTTCTGAGCTGACATCTTACATGCACTCCCCCCTAAAATCAGGAAAAGGGAAGGAAGTGTTTTTAAGGCATAATTCATCTCACCTTAACACAGACTTTTAAAATAACTTGGCTGAATCACACCTGTTACGTTCTGATTTATTTCCGTTCACCATAAAGACCCTACTGACACTATAGAGAGAGCTAGAAAGCTAAGTGATTTAAAACTGAGATTTAAAAACAGATGGAAATATGTAAGGTCAGTGAGATGGTTTGTGCACTCTGAGCTTCAGCCAGCATTGTGGAAAGCCTGAGAGCTACAGCTTGCTATTCGTAGGCCTGATGCAGCACATATATGTGGTGTAGTTCTATGTAAGGTCTTTGGAACTGATCAACTGACCAATGCATCCGGCAGCAGCTGAAAGGCAAAGCCTGTGCAGTGTTTCAGCAGAGTGCTCTCTGCTTCCCACAATGGGAAGGGCAGTAGGGGAGGGTGGGAGGACCTTGGCACGTGCACAGTAAATACCTTACCCAGCCAGTTCTGAAAAAGTAATTGGCCTCCTTCTGCTCTGCTTAACTTTATTTGTGAACCTAGGCATTACTTATGACCTAGATTCAATTAGCCTTGAGATATTCACATGAACCACTTCATGTTTGTCTACTAATCACTGAAAGAGGCCTCTTTTCCAGGTGAACGTTGTTAGCACCTTTTAGAAGTCTCAGAGCTCTGCATTCATTTTAGCCGGGGGAAAGAGAAACAACACGTGCTCATGGGGAATGAATACAGCTTGATCACTGTGAATTATTACCTGGATTTTGATAAAATTATGGAGCGCTGCCAAGTATACACAGTGTTAAGAAATATATAAAGCATGCAGGCTAAACTTGGAGACTTTAAATCTTTAGTTAAGCAGTCAAATGTTATTTTAAACTTTTCTTAAACGCCTGATTATGATTTGCTCATGTTTATTTAGATTTACTTCCGTATTTACTCAGACTTAGAGGTTAAAAAAAGTCATCTGTCACATCCTGTAGGCCTTTGGCCTCTGTTAAATAGTATGAGTGTAAATAACTTTAGCTATTTAGAATAAGTGACAGCAAATTCCCTTCTCCTTCAACAATTCCTACAAATTTGCAGTGAGGGTTACCTTGTTACACATTTTCAAGGTCCTAAAAAAAAGAACAGCTCTCTCATTTTTAGCAATCATCAGGTTTAGTCATACATGTACTCAAATATGGATTGCACCTCTTAATTACTGGTATTAGTTCTTAGCCCCTGCTCCAATAAATGCAGTGCTGTGTAAGGAGTTAGAGAAGTTGGCACTGAGCTGATGCTTTTGGCTTTTCTGCTGTCCGTGTAGATGGTGGGCCACTGAGGACAGGCTGGTCTGGCCCTTGGGTTTTCTGATTTCTCACAAAGTGTTAGATAACTTTTAACTGCTTCAGAAGAGTGTGCCAAGGGAGGTTCAGGTTGGATACTAGGAAAAATTTCTTCTCCAATAACGTGGTCATATGCTGGAATGAGCTGCCCAGGGAGGTGGTTGAGTCACCATTCCTCAAGGTGTTCAAGAAACATTTAGATGTTGTACTAAGGAACATGGTATGAAGGGCAAATATTGATGGCAGGTGGACGGTTGGACAAAATGATCTTGGAGATCTTTTCCAACCTGAGTGATTCTATGATTCTGTGTGTCTTCTCACTTCTGCTCCAGAATGTAAAGTCTTTAGACAGCTCTCCCTTATGTCTTGTCCCTGCACTTTGACAATGGAACGTGCCGTGCAACTGCCACTTGCTTATAGTGAGTGTGATGCTTATAGTGAGCCCCATCCTGGAGGTGTTCAAGGCCAGGCTGGATGGGGCCCTGGGCAGCCTGGTCGGGTATTAAATGTGGACGTTGGTGACCCTGCATGTGGCAGGGGGTAGGAGCCTGATGATCCTTGAGGTCCCTTCCAACCCTGGACATTCTGTGATTCTGTAATTCTCTGATAGCACCTAAGACAGCCACACTGTTGCAACAGCAATGTATCAAACCCAGAATAGACGTGTGATGCAAATTTTAGAATGCACTATTTTTCAAAGAATAACCACTAACACATAAAATGCAGAATGCCTCTTGAAAGCACTGTAGATAAACAAGACTTTTTTCAGGAAGGCTGAGAATCAAGTAACTCCATTCTAAATTTACTGGTGAATTTGTTCATCAATACCAGTTCTCTGACATGAACCAGCCAACAGTGCTGCTATGTACTCATACAAGAGTTAGATTATACCGGTAGTTTATTTCTGGAGGGTGTCTATACCAGCCACATTATTCCTGCCAATATTTATTTTAAGTCCATGCACATAAGAAAGATTGCCCTGGAAATCCTGGATCTCCAGACAATGGCTGACCCTAAAGCAGGTTCCAAGTAGACTGCCAGAATCTGTTGGTGTAAACTTGCATCATAGATTATTCCAAACTAATATAGTGTATCAGGTGAACTAGCACTGAGTAAGTAACAGGTTCAAGCCCTTGTTCTTCAAGGTTGGTTTTTACTCTCCCTATTTAATATGCAAAGTTTTATCCTGAAATAAAAGAGTTATGTATTTTAATTATTTTGAATGACTTGGATTTCTCTGGCTGATTGAGTAGAGATGAATGGAGATTCTTCCAGCTATAGCTTTTTCTGAAGCAGGAAGTATCTTCCTTCCTGGGACAGGTTGGAGCTATATGTAGGATAAAAGGGAGTTCTGTGCACATGTATTGCTTGTGAACTCTTGTTATTGTAAGGGATTAAAGGAAGTAACAAAGAAAAAAAGAATGCCAAAAGCTTAAAGCCTTATGCACATAAATGTATAGGGAGAATTCTTCAAAGGAGAGAAACAGCATAGCACTGTGAGCCATGAATGAGATTAAAGATCACAGAATCATAAAATTAGTAAGGTTGGAAAAGACCTCTGAGATCACCCACTCCATCCATCCACTTACCACCAATATTGACCTCTAAACTATGTTCCTAAGTACCACATTTACCCTTTCCTTAAGCACCTCCAGGAACACTGATTCCGCCACATCCCTGGGAAACCTGTTTCAATGCCTGACTGCTTTTTGGAGAAGAAATTCTTCCTAAAATCCAACCTGAACCTCCTCTGATGCAACTTGAGGCCATTCTCTCCAGTCCTGTCACTAGTTTCACAGGAGAACAGGCTGACCCCCGCCACAGCCTCCTTTCAGGTAGCCATAGAGAGCAATAAGGTCTCCCCTGAGCTTTCTCTTCTCCAGTCTAAACAATCTCAGCTTCTTCAGCCACTCCTCGTAAGACTTGTGCTCCAAAGCCTTTACCTAGCCTTATTACCTTTCTCTGGACACGCTTATATGGTTGGAGGCTTATTTAAGGGAAGAAAGATTTATTTCACTGCAGCGTCTGCTTCTTGCACTGCTGATGTAATGTTTTCACCCCAAGATGTGCAGCAATCCCAGTACTACAGAACAGCAAGTGTCCCCTGGGTTATGCTTACTGTAATAGCTGCCACTGGGATCAGTCGGAAGTCAGCGTTCAGAAGGAACTTAGCCCTTTGCAGATCCTTTGGAAGGGTTCTTCCACAGAAGTGATCACTACAGTAAATCTTGTCATAGGGGAGAGAGTGGATTTTTTTTCTGAGTTTCACCAAGTTAACAACGACTAGAAGTCAGCAGCTCTGCAAGACTGTTGCTTAAATGATATGAAATGAGTGGATGATGATGTCAAGATGAATGTCCACAAGAAAGTAAACGACAGTGTAGTGATTGTGGCTATGTCTGCACCACACAGTAGGGCACATGACAACAATGATGCTTTCACATTATCACAGAGTCACAGAATGGCTGAAGCTGGAAGGGACTTCTGATAATCATCTCGTCCAGCTTCCTTGCTAAAGTAGGGCCACCCAGAGCACATCAGCCAGCTCTGTTTACAGATGGCTTTTGAATGTCTCTAGGGAAGGAAACTACAGCCTCTCTAGGCATCCTGTGCCAGAGCTCAATCACTCGCTTGGTAAACATATTTTTCCTCATGTTCAGTCAGAACTTCATGTGTTTTGTACTCACTGCCTCTTATCCTGGCACTGGGCACACTGAGAAGAGTCTGGCCCCATCCTTTCAACACTCTCCCTTCATATACTTACATGCACAAGGTATAAGTCTTCTCATACAGGCTTTGGTCTCAGACAGTTAAATGTGTCATGGTTGAGTACCAGACAGCAATAACACCTTAGGCTTAGGGAAGTTACATTGCACAGTCCACAGTCCTGAGCCTTTGTGACTATGCTGCTTCCACTTCTGGAGCCAGGCAGCTGAGCACCTCAGGAACAGCTTTCTGAATGGCACACTCTTCCCATGGAGAACACATCCGTAATGGATTACAAGAATCCTTCAGTTAATTAACTCCCAGTGCTTGATAAGTATTGACAATGGATTGTACAAACAACTTATGCTGCCAAAGATTGCTGAGATAAACAAACAGTGAAGGGCTACTGATTTAATTTCAAGGGATATATTAAATAATCTTTATTAATGCTCACTTTTCAGTAGCTCTCTTGCATTCCTAGTTAATAGGTGCAAATTCTGCATTTATTGTGCGCTCTCTGCGAATAAGCAGCTAACAAATCTTCACTTATGAAGTAAAAAGGGGATGGTAGAAGCTTTCCTAATTGAAGTTGTGTGATGCAGTGAAGATTACATGCCTCTGGCTATTTCAGTTGCTTTTAATGATTCACCATTGACAAAACTCCCCCTGAATATGCAAGTCTCGGGCCAGCCCATCTACCAATATCTTGTTTTTCACGCTTTGTGGGTGGCCTAAGAGATGATTAGCAGAGTTTTAAATAGTTTCTCTAATATAGCTTTTCTGCTTCAATTTTGAGAAAATGATATTGCAGTAAAGGTGTTACACAGAAAAGCTAAAAGTAAAACAACTTCACAGCTTCTAAAAATACCAGGGATCAGAAGCTTAGACATTATTAGGTGCTGAGGCTGCGTTTCCTTCTGTAGAGTTTTCTCGATTCAGATTTATCAGAGGGAGCAAGAAGGAGTAGAAGTATATCTAGCATTATGTAAAACTCCCAGCAGACTGAAAATAATACTGATAATTTTAATGAAAGTGTGCCTGCCCCATAGCCCCGATTGATGAATGAGCTCTGTGTTTTTCTGTCAGCTGAAATGGATGAACCACTGGGGTAGGGACACCGTCATTGCTTCAGATTTGTATAGAACCTCATGCAGTGAAGTGCAATCAGCATCTGAGTCTAATTGCTGCCACCAGTAAAGCTGCAGCAAGGTGGCAGCACGTGTGGAACCCATTCCATGGCTTCCTTTGAAGGTGCTGCCAACGGGGGGTAAATAGAATGACAGAACTGGGAAGAGAGTCCTAGTGTTGGCAACTTGCTCTGCTTTTGCCTTGTCTGCTACAAATAAATCACATTTAACAGCCAGGCTTGCAGAGATGTCTGACTGTTGACTTACAGGAACATTGTTAGCAGCCTTTCTTATTCTGTTAGCAGATCTCTGAATGGTCTCTTACTGTTCAGCTCTGCCTCATTATAGGCACATCCTGAACCCATTCTTTCAGTATACTGGATCATATTATGTCTGTCCATAGGCTCAAAACTTACTAGCTGTTCATGTTAGATGTACAGCTGAGTTGCGCTTTTTTTTTTGAGGGGGGGAAAGCGGTAACTCAAGGCAACCCAAGTGGTAGTGGAATGTTATCTGTATTAGGGCCTAGATCCCAGCTCCTCAGTGACCTCCGACATTTTACTACATGAAGATGCCTGCAATATTTAATGCAGGGATAGCAGAGAATGACATTGTGTTTATATTTAACTTGAGTCTTATATTTGAAATGTTCATTTTTATGTGCACATGTATTTCAGTACCTCAGATTTTTGGAGAATCACAGTTTTACTTTAACAGTTGCAATTTTTTTTATCTCTCAAGTGAACTTGAGTGTCTTGAGTTTCAATAGGAACTTGTTTTCTCAGTATTTGTTTCCTTCTGTGTTTATTTGAATTAAACTCAACGTCTAACATATTTTCCTTCTGCAGGGCACACACATGTTTCAACCGTTTGGATCTTCCACCTTACCCCTCATATTCTATGCTGTATGAGAAGCTGTTGACAGCTGTTGAAGAAACTAGTACCTTCGGACTTGAATGAGGGGGTTCAGGCAATTCTGGTGTTTTTCTGGCTGTTGATGTCATCTTTCCAACATCATTTAATATTGGTTTCCCATGTTTTTATTTTCGAAAATAAAACAAAAAAGAATCAAGATTGACAAAGGCTATGCATGAAGAACTGCCACCCTCCAAGATCTAACCTTCATGCTTTCATCCTGTTTCCTATGGACTGCTAGTCTGTATGCAATAGAAAAACAACTGTCTCAAGGTTTCTGTATATCTCTACATACCTCCATTAATAACAATGAAAATACAAATGCAAGCTACACTACACTTGATCAAATGTTAGTAAATGTTTACTTCCACCTACGTTGATTAAAAAATAAAAAAAAATAATTAAAAAAAAAAAAATCAAGCATTCCAAGCTTTTATATACCCACATTTTCTAAACCAATTTGCAGCCCATCTTACTTCCTAACAGTTGAATACGGTACTAGGAGCTGGTCAAATATATTCTTCATCCATTCTTCTTTTCTCTGTACATGTTGTCCATCTCAGAGACACTTATGAACAAAACTGAAATTTTTATATACGAACTCACATCAGTTGCATCATCTGGACCTGGCCCAGATTCACGGTGCAGATAAGACCTTCAAAAACTCAAAAAGCAGCCTGTTTTTTATGCAAATCCTAACAGCAATTGCTACAATTGTTCCTTGCCAGTGCTGGAGAGAACTTGCACTTCAGAGATATTGGGAGGGGCATCTCTATAGTGATGTTTACCGCACAAGAAGCACAAGTTTGTGCACACTAAAGAAGGATGTCTTATTATGTAGCATAAAGACCAGGCTCCCTTACCTTAGTATTGTATGCGGCAAGGAAAAGAGGAAATAAGGTGAATGTTCTACTCTTGTGAATACCCTTGGATTCTGTTTACCAGATCTTTGTTCTCTGATGTTTAAAATGCTCCTTTCCAAATGGAAGTTCAGACAATTCCATCCCCTGTGTCAGAAGCCATTTATTGTCTGTCAGACTGGGCTAATCTATGGTTGCTGGGGACAGGTTTTGGTCTTGTCATTTTTTTTTTCTTGTTCAGTGCAAATCTCCGTAACCTTGAGAGTGGTTGTAGAATGAAAGTTTTAGTCTAGGATCTATTGAATGAGAAGCTGCAGTGAATGGTGGTGCTAGTCGAGGATGAGGGGTGTAACTCTGTTATGGTTAAAATTTTGTTGTAGTTCCTCTTGGAGTCAACCCAAAAATCCTCCAGCTATGTTAAGTATGACCAAACTTAAGAGCAATCTCTTATTACTTCAGGCAGAACCCACTTCAAATTGATGAACTTTGCATTCCTACTCTGAAACCAGGGAAGAAAAGGAAAACAGCAGCAGGCTTGTTTTTGGAAGGAGGCTGTTACAGGAAACATCACTGCTCTGTTGTGTTCTACTTATTAAGATTTGCTGCCCTTGTTTTCCAAGACTGATCTCAAATTGAAAGTGTTTGTCTTAACTGGGAAAAGACAATAGGTATCATTACTTCTGATGCTAAACATGTGAAAGAATGAATGAAATAGGAAGTGAGAGACTTGTGAAGGGTGAGTGGAGGTAAGTAAGAAGGAAACCTCATAGTATCTAGCAGTTCACATGAAAAATTGTTACAGTTGTGTGCTAGCTGTGCTTCAGGGTAATTAAAACCAGATTACTTCAATGTCTGACACATCTTATTCCCATTTTTATCTCCAGACAAAAGAACTGAACCCTGCTTTCTCACGTAATTTAATGGTGGCTACACAAACTCATCACTCTTAAAAAACTGCATTCTTAGTTTTGTACCATTCTGCTTTGATTCTTAGGTTAGGAGACATCTGAAAGGTGAGGGAACCCAAAGTATGTTTCTAGGCAGTGGGTCTTATTAGTGATATAGAAAATACTTGGGATATTTAAGTTGCCCCATTCATTCTATTTTTGTAACCCTTCAGCCTCTTTTCTAGTAATTTACTGCATGGCTTTTACTGAGAATGTATTTTAAAATACATGTTATTCATATTGAGTACAGTTGCATAGGATGCCTTAACTACACGCCACCTTTCTTATACGGACACCAGAAATTATGCCTGTCATTTCCACAAAACTCAAGCATCTACTGCATGTGCTCAGCCCCACTGCAGAGTAAAGATGGAGTCTTTTTTTCTGAGAACATCTGTCACATGCACATGATCTACAGAAGGGTGAGTCAAAGCATAAGAGACCAAACGTAATCTTCCAGTGCACATTATTTCTGCCTCTTCACCACTGCGCTCCAAAATTCAGTGAGGTCCTGAGTTATTCCTGCTCATATTAGTGTAACAGAGCTATCTGTACTTCGTCAAACGTTGGGTGTCTTCCAACAATAGAAGAAAAGGCAGATAAGTATCCAATTGGTTTGGCAAAAGAGAACAGTGCATGCAGAGCTGTCTCATTGACATAGCAAAAGAAATTAAAAAAAAAAAAAAAAAAAAAATCTTTACAATGCTGTATAGTTATTTTTTTTAGTATTTAAAACTCTATTTTATTAAGAAAAGGTGAAACTATTTTTTGTAGCATAATAAAAGATATTTGTATTTCAGAGGCAGCGTCAAAACCCACTGACTGAAAGAACAAAAGCTCTTGAGGTTCTTCTTCACAACATATTCTGGCCCTCACCGTACACTGACTGAGCTCTAAATAAGGTGCCGTGCATCTCCATGTTTGACAAATGCCATCTCAAGTAGCTTGTGTGTTCCTGCTCTAGAAAATATACAGCACAGCCTGCTTCTTGCCATCAAAAGCCTTAGTCCAAGCTAGCTTTCAAGTGCACAAACTAGGAGTATTTTTAAAAGTTGTTATTCGTAGGTGTTTGTGATGACATAAAGGACAAAATCATGCAAATTTTGTTGAAGGATTTTTGTTTGGGGTCCTTAGTTTTTGCTTGCTTGTTTGTTTTAGTCTAAAGTCAGAAATAGAGGAAAGCAGACAAATATTTTCATAAACACCATGCTACTCTTGCTTTTCTTTCACTTTTCATCTCTATCCCTCTATCTCCCCAGATGCCCTACTCTGATATGTTTTCAAACACTGATATCATCTCTGGGGTATCCAGATCTGCACCTCACAAGGCATTTTTCCATTCATACCACAGCCTGAGTCTGGATCCAATCTGAAGTGAAGGGGAAGCTGTGCACCTTGGTGTCCTTGTACGTGGAGTGAGGGAGAGAACGGTGCTAACGAGTGAGGGGAAGAACACATCTCCTTTGCCCTCTTATTAAAGCTGTCATTATTATGCAAGACATACAGCCTTCCCTCTTCATCGTATGGTTCAGTGCTGTTGTTAGTATATGTGCTCTCTTCCCAGGTCTGCATTTTCATTTGTAAAATATAACTGTTAACTACAGAATTTCTGGTTTCAGTTTCTCGTAGGAAAGACTTTCAAATTTTGCATCAAGCAGACTTACAATGAAATACGTGAGCAATGAGCTTTCAAAAAATCTGTTCAGCTCCTTCTCCTCAGTTCACACTGCACATGGTGTTGGCTATATAAGATATGAGACGAACATCAGCAGATTTAAAAATGCAAATTAAAAGTGGGATAGGCAATCTGACAGCTTTTTTGAAATGCAGTCTCTGACAGGAGGAACGGATGATGGTAGTTTGTAGTAGTTTTGGTTCAGAGGTTTTACTTTTCTCAAAGCGATTGCTGTGATGGTGTTAATGGTAGAAGGAAGAAACAGAGTATTGCTGTTGATGAAATCCTGGTGCTATAGTAGCCTTATGCTGAAGATAAGAGAATTTGAAGGCCCTCTGCCTTGAAGAAGTCACACTGACTGTTCAAGCACAAAAGCTATGTAGCATTTGATCCAGTACAGTCACAGCTGTACCTTACTGTTGTCTGCATCAGGTCTAAACCTTACAAACATCATTTCAGTCTGCAGGACATTCTGTGAGCATCCAGTCTCAGTCATGTGGCTGTGTATATTTGGAACTCAGTTTTATGTTCTAGGGAGTTCTGTGGCTATGACAAGGCAAGGAGTAAGTGGTCCAAATTACACCTAACATCTAATGGAGAGAATATGAGTTTTGTACAGTCTGACACAGAACTTTTTTCACCAAGTTTGCTCAAGTGCCCATGAAGTTTTTACTGAGAGGTAGATGAGGTTGGAGTTGGTATTCTAGTCTGAGACAGCCTGTGGAGGGGGTTGGCTTTGTACTTTGTTATTCTTGTTTCACAGTAACAAATAGCTGATACATTTCTAGCTCAAAAAAGCAGGGTACTGAATTTTGACATGGAAATTGACTGACTAATAAACTAAAATACACACAGCAGAGGAGTTAAACTTTGCTATTAATCCTGTGACAGTCTATGGAAATCCAGAAGGATGAATGTGATGAGATTTGTTTAATTTCTGTTGAAACAGTATTTTTTTGCCCTGTCTCTATAAGTAGAGCTTCCCAGTCAAGATTGAACACTTTCAGTCAAATGCAGACCAACAGACCTTTCTATAATAAATGCGGTGCTTTTTCTATTATAATTCTTGCTGTACCTCAGTGCTCATTATAAAAACAAACAAACAAAGAAAAAACACAAAAAACTGCTGCAATATACTAAATCTGTGATAGGATTTCCAGTCACGACAAGGTCCAACAGATTGGATTGTTACTTTCTCTCCAGTGAGTCAAGTAGTTCCTTTGTTCTAGTAGAAAAACAGATGCCTGTACATAGTAGTTACTAGATAGAATAAGTATTGTACCATTAGCCAAATTCCCTGCAGCTTCCAATTTCTCTAAAATAAAGGATACGTCTGTTACGGTTTTTGTTAAAGACTACTTAAAGTCAATGGCAGGAAAGGTCCTCCTTGTTGGACTGATTTTGCTTATATTGACAGAAAAATTTCACATGATAGGCTGTGCTTTCTATTCAACCATATCACCATAGAGGAATGTCAATAAAATCACTTTGTTATGGTATTGTGTGGGCTGTCTCTTTCAAATAATTTCTTTTGTAGAGGATGTATTTCACTAGAGTGGGGGGAAATTGGCATAGGTGAAAGTCCACTGACTTGAGTTGCTCTTCCTCTGCCAGGACAAGATCTTATCCATTCATTGCATTTAGGCCTTTCCGCTGCTGTTGTTCAGTTTCCCAGGGTACGTGTCTAAAACCTGAGGTTTTCCCCAAAAGTGCACATAACCAAAGCCCTTGTACTACTCTCCTAGACAAAGCTAAGACCAAACCTAAGACATGCCTTGAAAGCATGTGAGGTTATTCGTTGTTACAGAAAACATGTGGACAAACAGGGACAAAAGAGGCACTTACCTCACTTCCACATCTAATTACTGTATTACAGGTATGAAAAGCAAGTGCAAAGATGATTTCTTAATAGAGTATGCTAAGTCTGCATTAAGTGTTGACAGCAAATAAGTACCAGATGCTGTGGAATTCTCAGTATGTCACACCCATTTCTTTGCTGCTCATCACTGTAATATCTCAGGCATGTTTCATTAGCACATTCCAGGTTAGATTAACACATCTCAGATACACAGTCAGCTAACCATACATGACGCCTTGCTGACCATACCTGTTTTCTTACATAAATGGCACCTCATGAGGGATAATGGTAGAAAAGGACTGCTGGGAAGCTTACATCAAATATGAAAAGTTTTTACAGTGGAAA